GAGTATGGGTCACCATACTTGGCCACATGTCACGTCACTTTTCACTTTTTCACTTTTCACTTTTCAATATTACAGCGAGAATAAAAGTTACTCCTTCTTTCTTTGCGTGAACATTTGTGTGGCGTTATGCAAATCTTCCCACACAGTTAGGTAGATATGTGGGGGCGTGTTCGAACGAGCCGTTTTAGGTAGGTGTGGCTGACTCTTAACTTTTATAAAGAATATCTCTTTGGATTTGAGACTTTAGTCTTTGCAACTTTACAGATCTTCTTTATGCACCAAGAGCTTGTAACACTCCAAAGAGAAAGGAAAAAATGAAATTGCATCATATGACCCCTTTAAATCACAGTAATTACGACATGGCGTGAATGCAGCATTATTTTTCAACGCGAAAGTAAGCCGTTTTCTGTGAATGTGTGAGACTTCCGGTTCATTAGCCACTGTAGGGAAATAACGAGAAGAATAACAAAGAGCAGTAAATGGTAAAACTGTTTGCACTATAAACCAGTGTGATCATAATTACTGTTTTTAATTAACTGTTTGCAATATCAAGCAGCAAAACGAGTTGTTTTGTACAGCTAAAAATAGCTGGACGCGGATGAGACCGGAAACCATGAACATTAAATTTACAAATGGCCGCGCCCGCTCTTACGGGAAAAATAAGATTGGATGGCTGAAATCACATTAAAAAAATAATTAAATAAAATGGGCAATCAAAGTTACAAAACTTACCTTAAGTAGGCTACTGCATTGTTAGCTTAGTAACATGCGCCAAACTTGATGAAATCAGTTGTCAGTCGAATGCTTTTTGTATGATTCCCAGAGATTCTGCTGCTCCAAATCAGCCACGTATGAGGTTTAATTTCACCCACAGTGCAGTCGTAGAAAGCAGCTGACTGTGTAGGTACTATACAATCAGGCAGCTCATAGGTTTTGGAACACATCCCATTAGTTTTGGTCTCTCCATAGCAAATTGTTTTATTCACAGCAGACACTGGAGTGAGCGCTTGATTACAGGTGCATTTTTATTTATCCATTAAGCTTTCATTAAGCGTGAAAACATAATCTCACCCTCTTCTTTGAGTCACATGCCATGGTTTCGGACTAATGGATGCTATTTTCTGGTGGTCTCGGCGTTACCGCACCGCATTACTGCATGGTCAGTGACAGGCCGATACTTCAAACAAAACCACCATGATATCATTACCTGGCAAAACGATTTCCTGGGAGATGGAATCCCTCTCTTGCTGAAGAGGCCGGGATGACAGCTGTTGCCTCAGACCGCGCCGCAGCAGAGATTAGCGCGAATGCGCCATCTGATGCCTGACAGGTGTCAGGGAAGTCATACGTCCTGTCGTCTACACGGCCGAAATATGAGAGACAGGAGTGTTTGCACGTAAACTCGAGTTAATAGAAAACACGCCTTACAAACAAGCATCATGGTTACCCAGTGAAACCATGACATTTAGAAGTCATTGATTACCATGGTACATGTCCAAAAACGTGGTTGTTTTTGTCTATTATGTGCATGTACGATGACAATATGTTGGATAGGATTTATAATAAAGGTTATGTAGTGTATTGTAGATGTATGCGTTTTATTTGTGGGTGTGAATGTGTGTTGCAGCCGGTTCCTGAAGAGCTGCAGAACGGAGCAGGGTTTGGCTACGTCGTTGCTTTCCGGCCCTTCGGCACCACCGGGTGGATGCAGGCGGCAGTTCCCTCTCCTGAAGCCTCCAAATACATCTTCAAAAACGAGACCATTTTACCCTTTACTCCATTCCAAGTCAAAGTGGGGGTGTACAATAACAAGGGGGAAGGACCTTTTGGACCTGTGGTCACCATCTACTCTGCTGAGGAGGGTCAGTCACATTAACTGTAGCATTTGGTTGTGCACAACAGAGAAATTAAAGTCAAATGTACCTTTTGACATTTCGCTGTGGAACGCTTAGCAGGCAGTTAATAGGAGCCAAGTTAACTGAAGTGTGTTGCGCCAGAACCCATTAATCATGGTCTGCCTTGTTTTTCAAAAAGAGTTGGACTTTGAAGACATTTGTTGAATGAAACGGTCTAATCGAAGAATTTCTCCTTCGAATTCAGAGCCTGGAAGGGCACCCAGTCGACTCAGAGCCAAGAGTCTTTCAGCGTTTGATGTTGAGGTATACTGGAAAGCCCTTCCCTGGAGCACAAGCAAGAAACGTGTTCTCGGCTATGAGGTACACTAAATTCTGTCAAATTAAAGTTGCATTCATTATACATATCATCGTTATTTTTCAAAACCCTATTCAAAATCTTAAAAAAATATTAAAATCATTACAAACTGTTTTTATTTCAATGAACAAATGAATAAAACTTCAAAATGTGTACTTTTAAATTATGCTTCAAAAAATTTAAGCCATCACTCACATTTTCTTCAAATGTAAATATCAGTTAATTGTTCTTATTACTGAGCTATAAATAAGTTTTTTTTTAGTTTTCCTCTTAATTCTACAAAATAAATCTATTGTTGACATAAGTACAAAATTATTAGCTCATAATGTTGTAAACTAATGACTTCATTAGTCACATAAAAAAACCTGATATTTAAAACTTTTTTAATTTAAAACTACAGATCTTTAGCTTTGGAATAAAAACGGTATATAAGAAAGAAGTTAAGAAATTAATAGTTGTAATCAGCAAGGACACATTAAAGTGTGTAAAGGTAGCAGTAAAGACATTTGTAATTTTACAAAAAATAATATTTGCAAAGTATCCTGGGGAAAAATCTATCACAATTTCCACAAAAACTATTAAGCAACACTGTTTTCAACATTGATAATAATAATAAAAAAAGTTTTATTGTGCAGCAAATCAGCATATTAGAATGATTTCTGAAGGATCATGTGACACCAAAGACTAGAGTAATTATAATAAAAATAACAGCTTTGCCATCACAGGAAAAATTACATTTAATTGTATTAATATTCCACAAACGTACTGTTTTCACTTAATTTTTGATCAAATAAATGCAGTCTTGGTAAACATAGTCTTTCAAAGACATTTAAAATTCGTACCGACATCAAACTTTTGAACAGTAGTGTACATTAATAAGTTTGAGAGCTTAGGGAGGCTATTTCATCTTTGAAAATGCTATATGGGAGTGGACGGGGCTTCTGCGACTGCAGGATGTCTCTACAGGATTATGGGTAGTTCTTCAGTTAGGCAATTAGCAGTTTTGAACATGGCAGAAATCTATCTTAATACTGAAGAGAAAAAAAAATCAATTTCAATATAGAGAAAAACTTCCAGAGTACTGTTTCTGCGGTCGATAAACCTTATAATGCAGGCTCGTTACTTATTTAGCAACATCATTTTGTTTGAGGTTGTATTGCAACCAACTCCTACTTAGCGTTGTGCCATTAGATGTTTTTTTAACTTTACCTTTTGGTAAGTCATCTGCAAAAAATCATAAATATAAAGCACTGAGACCTTTCGTCCTCTGCTAACAGTTGTGGAACAAATACAAATGAGGTTTATATCATCATCCATCTCTGACTCTTCAGCTCAGACTGCCCAGAGACTTTTGAGAGGGAAAAGAAAAAACCTGAGTCAACCTGACTCAAATTATAAAATTATTCATTTAAAAATTATAAATGAATTCTTTCTCCCACTAGTTTTAAATGATATTGCTCTGAGTTTATTCAAGTTTAATGTTGAGCGGTTCTGTTTTGTCTTTCTCTGTAGTTGAGATACTGGGAGAAGAATGAGAAAGAAGACACAGCTAGTTTGCTAAGGACAGTAGGAAACCGGACGATGGCCATTATTCAGGGCTTAAAAGGAAGTACCACCTATTATATAAAGGTGAGAGCCTACAACACAGCAGGAACAGGACCATCAAGTCCAGCGGTCAACGTTACCACTAAAAAGCCTCGTAAGTAACTTTTTTTCTTTTTAAAAAGATTGACTGAAGAGGATGTTACTCAATGCATGAGCAGTTATGTTTAAGGGTAGCAACACTAGTATTAGATCACTGTTTTAAAGTTGCTATGACTTCATCCAGCCCCCAGCCAGCCGCCCTCAAAAGTCATGTGGAATACATCAAACTCCAAAATCATTCTGAACTGGGAACAGGTGAAACCTCTGGAAAATGAATCTGAGGTCATGGGGTACAAGGTAAGCCAGATCTTCTTGCTGAACTGCTGTTTAGCATACCTAACAAACGCTCTTTAGCCTTAAATACATTCACAATGTGACACAGCACCTTATTGCTCAATGATTAAACAGCTTTCAGTGCTTTAGCACCACCAAATGCTTTGATATGTGCATGACAACGACTCCAGACATGTCACAAAGCATCTATTGGTTTGTTTATATTGTTTTAGTGGAATTTCATCGCTGAAAATCCTAGTGTAAAAGCTCCATAGGATCGATTGTTTCTATTCAATATCTTTCATGTCAAATATCCACTCTTAAATATTTGCAGTTGGCTTATAGTTGTAGTTAAAATATTTTAAATAGAGTGATTCAGACTGATTGCCCATCAGCCCCTTATGCTATCTTCATGCATCAGCCATTGAAAATACCATATCATTCTGATAACAAGTGGGACTATGTAAATGGAGGTAATTGTTTAAAAATAAATTTTTATTGTTTTGTAGGTACTGTATAAGCGGAACCAATTCAGCAGGCCCAGCATTATGGAGACCAACACCACCTCAGTGGAGCTGTCACTACCCACAGATGAGGAGTACATCATCCAGATCAGACCTTTTGGAGAAGGAGGGGAAGGCAGCAGCAGCCGACAGATCACCATTCCCAAAATATCAGGTAGATCATCCTCTACTAATTGGCTTATTTTTAATTCAGTTTTGATTTTATGCTATATTTTATTTAAGAGAAAAAAGGTTGAAGCTTACAATTTCAGAAATAGAATGCATTATAAATATATAAACATCATTTTTAAGGGATGATTTACAATCAGCAGGTCATTATCACAAAATTTAATTCAACAGGGCGATTAGATTGAATCAGCCTGAAGGGATTTATTTTGTGCTAACGACTGGCTGACTGAACGTTATCCTACTAATTACACGACTACTCATCAAATAAATTAATAAATGGACAACTGGACATGAAATATTCATTAAATGATTTTACTATGTGAGCAGAAATATATGAATATGAGAGACTTGAATATGAAATGCACTACTGTTCAAATCATCTTAAAATCATTAAAGGGGTCATATGATGTTGCTAAAAAGAACATTATTTTGTGTATTTGGTGTAATGAAATGTGTTTATGCGGTTTAAGGTTCAAAAAACACATTATTTTCCACATACTGTACATTATTGTTTCTCCTCTATGCCCCGCCTTTCTGAAACGCGTCAATTTTTACAAAGCTCATTGTTCTGAAAAGCGAGGTGTGCTCTGATTGGCCAACTATCC